CCCCAAAACCCCAAAACCCCAAAACCCCAAAACCCCTTGCTCAATAACTAGGTTAAGATTCAGAAGTTATAAATTGATGTAGATGGATTAAAATCAAATAAATCATTAGCTCCAGAGTCTGATAGAGCAGTCATAGCCAGAAGTAAAGAATCTGTCTAAATGATCGAAGACAGCCCCAGTTAGTTCCTTCTCATTAGTTCTGTGGAGTACTTTCTTGGTCTTTTCAGCTATTCTAGCAACACCCACTCCTAAATCAAGAGAAGATGTAAGGAGCATGGATGAATCTCTATTGAAGTCAAGAGTTAGAATTTTAGCAGTATGGTAGGTGAAGCAAGCTACTTCAGCTTTTGTTTCAGCACTAAAGACATAGATGTATCTATAGGAATCACCTGATGCTACAAGTTGGCCGTCTCTAGATGCTTTCATGACTGAGACTGAGTGATTGTGTTTCTTTTCAATTAGAGATTATTCAGAGAGATCAGCAATAGATAGACAGTGGATAAGACCTTTCTTATCTCCTACCCACAATTCAACTCCAGCTTAAGCAAGGGCAGTGGGCTCATAATTAGTAATCTCATTAGTCTAGCTCTCACTAAGATCTGCACTTAGAATTTGGACCTTATTATTGTTAAGAAGTACGTAGATTCTAAAATCTTGGCCAAGATGAGCTGCTACTGGCGATCCCTCCAATTTGACTTGATTCTTGAACTCAAAAGAGTGACTATCACCAAGTCTTTCACTTCTCTTCAATAAACCGTCAGTGCTGAATGAATAAACAACATCATCAGCTGAAATCAAGATAGAAACAGTCATTGAATGACCCTCTCCATGGAATAAGTCTGCTTCTATTTCGTTTGACCATGAAAATATCTTTCCATCTTAATCAGCTGAGATCAATGTAGTCTTGGCTAAAGTCATGCATGAAATATAATTCTATGAAGCTTATTTTATTGAATTCTTACAGAATGTCCTTGAATAATTTTAGATGGAGTCAGCAAATCCTTTTTGAATACATCTTTCCCATTATAGATGTTAATGTTTGAGTTAAGAGTAACAGACCAGAAATTTTCACTTTCAGCTATAATGCCTAATTATTGATTTTCAAGCTTCTCTTGCTCATCTCCATCTATTGAAAGCACTCTAAGAAGTTAATACTTTTTATAATATATTACTTGATTTCAGAGCCATCTTCAGCACTCCAAATCTTGATGGTATTATCAGTAGAGGACGTCATAAGAGTGTCCTCATCAATCCAGACTACGTCAGTCACACCCTTATTATGAGCTTTCTCAATTTTCTTTATCTCTTCGAGAGTCTCAGTATCATGAATAACTAAGGACTTATCCGAGGATGCACTCACGAATTTCTTACCCTCTGGACTGAATACAACTTTGTTAACGAAATTAGAGTGAGGATATAGAGTCTTCACTGCCTTGAAAGGTACGCCATCATACACGAATAACTCCTAGTTCTCTCCCCCCATCACTAATCTATAGGGTTTCTTTTTTATATCGATAGAAGTAATAGCTGCGGTGGGTCCGAAAATATCGCCAATCTTTGAGCCTGAATCTACTAAAACTGCCTTCGCGTACATATCCTTTCCCTCTCCAGCTGCGCATATCCTCTGGCCATCATCTGTAAAAGATATTGCGTGAACAGCTCCACCAAGCATACCATGCTCCTTCTTAACTACAAACTCTTTTGACTCCTCACTGTAACTCCATATCCTGACTTTGCCCGTTGAATCCCCAGAAGCAATGAAAGCTCCATTTGGGGAATACTTAACACATGAGACTTTACTTAGGAAATCTGTGTAGACTGCACTGTTTTAAGGATTCTTGATATCTCTGATCACTACATTATTCTATACTGCGTAGGCGATGTGAGTTTCTTGACTGTTCAGTGACCAATTGGTTCTGAACCCTCTCCTTGTGCTTGGATTTGGTGGTAGCAATGCAACTATAATTTTCAAGAGTTAATTGAAGATTGCTATAAATTTAAGATACTTTGTTTGTAATCCTTGGATTCCATCTCTAGTAAATCTTAAAATATATATTGTTAATTTATTGATCAGTTAAATGAATTATAATTCTTAAACACAAATAACAAACAATTCTTATTAAAAATGATCAAGGGCAAAATATTTGAGAAGTGTAAGAAGTACTTTGAAGAGTATTTGTTCGGCTTCGATCAGAACCACCTCAAGACTTCATTCCTAACCGGTAAAATTGACTTGCACAATGTCAATATAAGGCCTGACAAGGTCAACGAGATTTTTTCAAAACAGGGACTCCCTATAGCTCTAAAAGCTGGACTTATATCAGAACTAAGCATCAAAGTATGCTAGATTTGGAAATAATTGTTTATAGCTGAATTTATTCCAACTCTTTAGTGAATCAGTGAAAATAGTTATAGAAGACATATTATTCATTGTAGGTCCAAATATCTCTCATATGTCACAAGATGCTGTAATATTACATAATTTGACAATTGTGTTAGGATTTTGAAAACGACATTAATTCGACCTAGTATGATGACTAGAATCCCCTGAATAACATTTTGAAAATGCATCATAAAGTTTACTTGCAAAGGAAACAAGAAAAAGATCAACAGAAGGAACAGCGTAAGGAGGAATAAAAGAAGAAACAGGAAAAGCTAAAGAAAAAAACTACTGACAGCGGCAAACCCAAGGAATTAAAAGAACCTCCAATGAAAGTGATAGTGAATTTACTAGGAGGACTTAAGTTAGAAATAAAGAGATTGCATTTCAGATATGAGGATGACTACTTCCAGCATCATAAACCGTTTGCCTTCGGACTTATGATCGAGAGTATAGTGATGGATAACTCAGATACTGACTGGACATTTGAGAGTTTAACCAGCATGGCATTCTAGAGAAATAAGCCTAGGTAAGTAGATATTATTATTGTTATTTCAAGCAATGAATATTATTATAGCAATCCAAAGACAACTAACAAGGAGTTGAATATCAAGAATTTGAAAGTTTATTGGAATTCTATGAGTGAAATGTTTGTGCCTACCAGTTTGTGGGAGTAAACAAGGCACTTGGAGTTTTAGATATTCGAAGCAATGGACGCCTCGTTCCTCAAAGAAATCATGGTTGAGTAAGAATATTAATCTAAACTTATTAGTGCATTTGGAGAGAAGTAAAGCTTATCTTATCACTTCCTAGTCTCACCCTTTACTATATACACATCAATCAACTTGAATCCAGGCTAAACTGCGCAGGATCCCTACAAGTATCAAATCAATGCCCTCATTTCAACCATTAATGCTAACCTGCATCCTCACCTGATCAGGGATATCTTGAAGTTTCAATCTTTCCTGGAGATGTTTTCGTATGCCTAGGATTTAAAGAAGTATCGGCCACTTATCAAGATCTAGTCCTTTGTTGAATAGCAAGCTTATACCCCTCAGCAAAAGAAAAAGCGAGCAGCTGTAATCAGAGAATGGTTTCAGCTGATCCTGTGGTATGTCCGTCTACGTAAGATATCCAAGGGCTTTGTCCCCTATAAGCTGCTAGACATTGAGGCTAAATATTAAGATCAGAATTTGCAAAATGCATTGATGAAGGCGAAAAGAGCCAATTTGCAGAACTATGACTATTATCTGGGGTCCAGTGACGAGGAGGAAACATTGATTGATACTAAGACTGGCAAGAAATCAGCTAGGGGAGATCAAATGGATGCTATTGCTCAGTATGAGAAGCAGCAGCAGGATATTAAGAATACTGAGGTGCTTAGGGAAATGATTAATGGGTTTAAGTTCTCACTTAGACTTGAAGGAGTCAAGGCCCAGATTTTCACATCTAAGAAAATAGTCAGATAACATTAGGAGTTGCCGAGACTTCAGTTTTGTCTAGACTAACTCACGGTTGCAGCTAATATTCAAGGACAAAATCTGTTTGCAAAAGTATTATTGAAGGAAATTAGACTAGTTGATCACTTCAAGAGAGAGTCTCTAAGAACATTCAGCAGACAGGTGAACAATATGTCTAGAAGCAACAACCTTTACCAGGACTAGAATCGAATGCAGCCAAGAGAAAGTTCTATCAATCAGTCCTCAGTCAAGGGAGCCTAGAATATCAATGGGGGCAATCTCCAAAAGAACATGTAAAATGTAGTCAATAAGCTCTTTGATAAATCTACCTCCAATGCCTACAACACACCTGATAGAAAAATGCGATTCACTGACATCATTTATGGCTCCAATGCTTCTTAAGAGAGAACAAGAATGGGTTCAAGAGCTGTGCCCTATGACTTTTTCGGACACGAATTGCCTGATCCTAACCAAGCTCATCACAAAACTAGAGAGACACTAACTATTTCAGACATCCTAAATAATTAATCTCGAGCACCTTCATAGTAAAATATGGTCAGATTCACCAATAGAAACAATTAGTCGCTTATCTAAAACAACAACAATAACATACTTGACAATTTGCAAAATGCCTCTCCAACCAAGGGAAGTATAGTCTAAAAAGCATAAAAATTCTAGCAATCCCCTACTAAACAAACACAAGAAAGAACAGCAATAATGAACAATGCTTACTTAGCTCTGAGGTCTGAGAATTTCGTTGATGATAGTCTAGAGAGTGTCGAGCGTAGATGCTTCTTATTGCTATGTGGGAAGACACCAAATATTGACTCTGCTATTTCTATTGAAATTTCCTCTAACATATTTGATGAGCCAGGTCTAAAGAAAAAAATCAACTTAAATCTCTAACTTGATCAGATTATCATTGAATATTGCAATGACATCTTGAAAAGTCTCACAGACATTGGTTTACAGTACAAACTTGCTTTCAATTTTTCAGACCTCAAAGCTGCAAAAGGACCTAATAAATTAAACAAAAAGAGAGGACTGTAGACCTCTATTTAGTACTATGCACCACTTTACACTCTTAAGAGATTGCTTTTGAAGCGAGCGTAGTCTGCCACAGAGGATCAAATCAAAGTATACACTAAAAAATTCTATCTAGACAAAGAGAAAAGTAAAACAAAGAGTGAAGTAATGAGAGAAGCTAAGGAAAAATAGATGAATATAATATAAAAGATCAAAGAAGTTGATAAAAAGCTCAATGATATCAACTTTGATGTGGGAATTGTACTTAAAAACATATACCTAGGAATCACTGGAGATAAAGATGATCCTTTCGTTTCTAACTAAACTTTACTTGAATTTGGTATAGATAATTAAGGTATATATCTAAACAAGCAAGACTTCAAATGCAAGGTAGCTGTGTTCGGAATCTCTGTAACAACTCTCAATTCATTTGAAATGCTCTTTGTCTTTGCAAATAATATGAAGAAAGTAGTGTCTATGTATTCTGACAATCTAGCAGTGCTTACATCAATCAATAACTACAAAGATTTCATTAAGAACATCAATAAAAATCTCGAAAAGTAACGTTAAATACAGTAATAAGAAGAGGAAAGCGATATGATTCGCAAGAAGTTCTAGCCTTAAATAGTAGTCACTCACAATGAAAGTTAAATGAGTCAAAGAGCTCAGTTCCAGCAGTCAACCAGTTAAAAGTAAAGCTAGGAATCCTTAAGAAATCCTAGTGCTTATGGTTAGCCAACTAAAGATATGCAATTTGAATAGAATATATTTTAGCGAGGTAAAATGGGAAACGCTATTGGCTAAGAAAATGGTAATGGAATACCAAATCAGCAGCCTTAAATAAAGTAATCAAATCAAAGACTGGGCAACAATCAAATCTTTATGATGAATCAAAATACTCTTGCACCTGATAGGCAATAAGTGTAGAAGAGAAATCCTAATTTAGTTGAAAATGATGATTAGTTTGACAGAATTGGTGTGAATCAAAATCAAATATCGTTAGTAAATCACAATAACAATCAAAACAGGCAAATGAATGGTGGTATGTAATCACTCAATGCTAATTTCAACAATATCAGAGGGAAGAATGTGTAAATCCTTGAAGATTAGAACAGCGATAGCTTTGTGAGTGACCAGCAAAGCTTTGAATAATAAAAGAATGGAGGTGGATTTGGAAACAGAGGCGGATTTAATCCCCAATAGAATAATAATATACAGAGGAATGAGACAGCTAACTTCAATAGAAATGAAACTGCCAATTTTTAGAGAAACGATACTTTCATGCCCCCTAGAAAAAAATGAACTAGTGATGATAGCCTTGTATAACATATATAATTTGCACAATAGCAATGAAATAATGAAAATAAGACCAATTTTATAAGATAATACTCTTTTATTATTTTGCTAATAGCCACTTAATTTATACAATAATTTTATACCTAATTATTTCCTATGGGGTTTTGGGGTTTTGGGGTTTTGGGG